ATTTTCTGTACAAAAGCTGACAAGTGGTCTCCACTATTTTTGACTGCTACCATTCATATCTTCACAGGTTTTCACACGACTCCACTTGAGGGAGGGTTCGACACGTCGATGGGAAGGAGCGGAAGTGCGGTGTGCCCCTCCCCCCCTGAGCCGAAACGGACTCAGAATAAATTCAGTGAAGATTTGGCACTGTAAGACGAGCGGAAACACAAACCTCTTGTTCTTCATCAGCTGTTAGGTTCTGGATCAGTGGTTCCAACTGGCCTGTTTTGATGTTGAGAATCTGGAAAATTCAAACGGTAGTGATCGGTAATGACAGTGAAGTTCCTGACCTCACTTTAAACATGTTTCCAAGTTTGATATGATCGTCAAGAATCCTGCTCCAGCCGTGGAAATCCATATAGCCGTCACCATCGAAATCAACGCTCTTGAACCAATCTCGAATCTGCTTCGAATCCGCTTTGACACCCAAGTCCTTAATCGATCCACAGCGATTAGAACAAGTTCGTAAAACGTGGAACTTCTGTGTCAAAAGGCCTTTTCAGATCCTTCGAGTCTTAGTTCGAAGGCTCCGAAAAGATGTGAGAAAGATGTAAAAATTTGTAAACGAGACTCGCTTGAAGCTTTTTGACGAGATCTTCCTCACTGAGACGAGAGAACTGAATCTTCTGCGTACCGGTCAATGTTTTGAAAAAGTTGTGGGTTTGAGCAATTGATTCTGCAAATCAAATTAATTGTCCGTAAGTTTATTCACCCTTTCTGATAGTACTGCAGCTTTGCACGATGAAAATCCACCGGGAGTGAGATTTGCCCTCAAAAAGCCGATGCTTAGTGGCGATATTGGCTACGTCCCGGACAAAGTTCACAAATTCGAACGCTTTCTTTTTTGCTAGACCATATGACCTCTATCAAGCTTTCCGTGTTACATACTCCTTACCTGAAAGTTTCAACAATAGCGTCGGCCTCCCTAGAGCGGTAACCTTTATGGCGGCGAAGCCTTCGCCCTGAGTCACCTTGGCCACGGCATCGACGGTCTCTTTGAAAATGTCGCGATTCCGGTCACATACTTCTTCTCCCTCGTAGAAATACGTCCTGAAAAACAATTTCTGAAGCATAAGGACAGGACGCTCTCGAGTTACTAATACGAATAATGTTAGATGACGGAC